GTTTAAGATGTCCTTTCTCATGGCTAAACAATATTCCATTATGCATATATACTATCCATTCATCCATTGACAGATACTTAGGTTATTTCCACATCTTGGCTATTATGAGTAACGTACTACTTTTCTAATATAATTTGGGCTGGGTGTAATAAAAAAGCACTTAATTCACCTTAACTTTTATAACTCTAATACAATTTTTTCTGATTTTAAGTTGTAATATCATCACATTTTTAAAGTTACATGTCAACATTTAAAAATCTTCAAATCATTAAAACTTGAAAAAAGTATGTGTTATGCATAGGACAGATATCTTAAATTCATTATTTTTAAAATACTTATTAAACATCTCTGTGCAAAACACATACAAAATAAGATTCCTTATAAATTAACGTAATATTGTAAATCAATTATACTTCAATTAAAAATAAATAAGATCACTTCTTCCCTCCAGAAACTTATAAACCAGTTGGAGAAATAAACCAAATGTGAAAAACTACACTACAAACAGTACTGTTCATCAAAAACAATGCTCTCAATGAAAAACAGTGTTTGTCGAAAACAATTACAGTAAATAAAGAATGATTTGAAACAGGATTTCAACAGAAGCTAAGGTTTGGGTAATATTCTGATAGGCAGAGACAGGGCAAGACAGCATTTCAAGAGAGGAAAGTCTCTGATATTAAACTAAGGAGTTTGAACCTTATCCTTTAACCAACAGTGAACCCTAAATGACTTCCAAGCAGTGGGTTTATAAGGAAGGCTCTTTGGAGGCATTAACAGAATAGGGTTGAGAGCGAGAGAAATGAGAGAGCTGGAAAAAATACAGGTACAATTTGTTGGGTTAACCAAAAAGTTTGTTTGAGTTTTTCCATGACATCTTAACCATACACCTGATTGAGTATCTGTCTCATTGTTTTCCATTATTAGTACACAGCAAAAAGAGGGTAAGTTTTTACTCAGGGTTGCTCAAAGACAATTTATTATATTTCATAAGTCCAGTAATTCTAACTATTTCAGCTTTTTATTAGCAGTGATAACTCACAAAATTTTCATTAACATACTAGCATCTTTGAACAGAATGGTTTTCTCTCACATACAATACGTCCCTTTAATCCTTTTCATACACTGCCTATTAAAACTATTTTTTTCACAGAAAGTGTTCATATATTTAAAATAACCAATGACCTGAGAATTAAGATAAGATTAATTTAGAATTACTGCATTCTAAAGTATCATTTCGTGGTTCACAGAGACTTTTATATTCACAGTTAAGTAGTATATTAAAGGAATAATTCTAGGCTCTCTGATACAGTACAAAACACAATTTATCTCATACAACCCCTATGTCAATCATAAATCATAATGTGCTTTAAACAGCAGCTTCATCTTCAAAGCCGAAGTCGGTCCTTTTACAATACCCTTGGCAGAAATACCTCATCAATTGCTCCATCAAGTAACTCGCACCTCTAGCGCCCCAATCTAACAGACATACCAAACCTTTTTGGAGTCCCCATTTTTGGTTCCAAAATATATGAATGGATCTCTGTTGTAAATTCAAGTAGTTTAAAACTCCTAAGTATAATCACTAAGTAGAGAAAGCAAATTTACACCAACACGTTACAATGAAAATGAATCACACCCTCAGACTAAAAATGAAATCAAAAGCAAAATGACTATCAACAGAAACTCTTAGTTATCGACACATCTAAAAAGCACTCTACTACACTTCTCAAATTTGAAGTCAGGAAAGAATTTTGAAAAGATATGACGATAACACTTGGATCCCAAACAGCCACGTAGGGTATACAACAGTCACTGTAAGAGGTACATAAAAGCTCACTAGAAGACCCACAAAATGCACACATTATTCTTAGAGATTTTATTTTACTGTTTTCATAGCCTCATCTCTAATCAACATTTTCCAGGCAGCTATTCTTTTAGACATTAAAAAAAATGAATAAACAGCTAGAGTATTAAATGCACGTTCCTCCCACAAGGCTAGTTTTTTCTTTTTAAAAATGCATTTCTCCTAAGTGAATTTAATTTACTAAAAGAGCCCTAACAAAATTTTAAGAAAGCAAATTATGTTACATCCTCACATCTTTTTGAGCATGTTTCACCATGTCTCTAAATGCCCTCAAGCTGCTTTTAAGACCTCAAATTCCATAAAACCCTGCTTCAGATCTTCAAAATTCGCTTTATTCTATAAAATTACTTGCATATACAATCTCTCCAAAATCAAAGCTTTCATGTTCTCATGCAAACATTTTAAACCCATTCACTCTACATTACACAGGAACGACTGATAGCTACTCAATTTAGCTAGAGGTCTTTTCACTTTTAAAAGAAGTTTGTTAACCTAACTTACATAGGTTTAACTTACACAGTTTAAGTTTAGAAATTTAAAAAATCAAAATAAACACTGGAGTCTGGCACCTGTTTCCCCATTCACCCAGTCACAGACTTTAAAATCATCTCGTCCAATATTTGATTTCTAAAGTGACGGTGATGTCAAAGTTAACCATAAGTGAATTTACAGTGCCATGGAGCCTCCTCTAAGGTATTCCTGAATTTCCTTTCACATACTTCTGAACCCATACACTCTGTACAACCTAAATTTTTGCACAATCTTAATGACAGTGACCTCAGCATTTCTATAGAAGGTAGTTATCTGTGTGCATCATCAGAATTTGAAGGAAAGGGGTATGACAAGTTTTACGTTCCAGGATTGCCGTAGATTTGTTTAGTATCTCAGTCCAAAAGAAAAACAAAACACAAAAAAACCCCTGATATTCTCAATATCCACAATATCCCTAATAAAGTCAAGGAACATTTTTGTTTCTTTTACAGATAAATAAAGTAGCCTACAGGCTTCTGGTCTATTCTTCCTTCATATTAAATTTATGCTGTGTACTGCACTTAGTCGCTGTTGTGTCTGACTCTGACCCATGGACTGCAGCCTGCCAGGCTTTTCTGTCCATGGGGATTCTCCAGGCAAGAATATTAAGAGTGGGTTGCCATGCCCTCCTCCAGGGGATCTTCCCAACCCAGGGATCACACCCACATCTCCTGCATTGCAGGTGGATTCTTTACTGACTGAGCCGCCAGGGAAGCCCAATTATACTAATGTGAGTAGCCTATCTCTTCTCCAGGGGATCTTCCCAACCCAGGAATCAAACCGGGGCCTCCAGCATTGCCAAACAATTCTTTACCAACTGAGCTATGAGGGAAGCCCATATTAAGTTTAGTTATGCCTAAAATTAAGTTGTGTTAGTGGCTCAGTCCTGACTCTCTGTGACTCAATGGACTATAGTCTGCCAGGTTGTGCTGTCCATGGAATCCTCCAGACAAGAATACTGGAGTGGGTACTGGAGATTCCCTCCTCCAGGGGATCTTCCTGAGCGAGGGATCAAATCCGAGTCTCCCGCATTGCTGGCAGATTCTTCATCGTCTGAGCCACCAGGTGTTGGGTGATAAAATTAAGTTAGGCCTTTTTTAGAGTTAAGGAAAGTTATATTTCAGGCTTTACAGTTTGTTACATTAGAGTGAAATTATGAACTAAATTCAGAAGGCAATTTAAAATTCACCTTCTAATTATTTTTTCTTTATATGCCCTAAAAATAATATATACAAACAAAAAAAGAAATTACTCAAGTGGCATACATGATGTAAATGAATCAGTCTCTCATTTAAGAACCAGATGATATGTAATACATAAAAACATGCAATCAAGCACCAGACAGAAGTGTCACATTGTTGTTTTGTGACAACAAAACAACACAAAGCCCTGTTTTGTTCTGAGATGTATTTAAAAATTAAATCAGCCGAAACTTAATGGCAAACACTATAATTTAAAACCTAACTATTACAGTATATAAAAGATACCAGAAATACCTAAATCTCATCATTACTTTTACCAGGGCTGTGTGTGAGGATAGTCAAGGGCCTTACAGGCATTCAAATAGTCACAGAGATGTGACAGTTTTAACTAATTTGATTAAACCCAGTATTTCACATGTATCTAACAAAGCTAAGGTCGAAACCTATTTCCACCTGGTAAAAATCAGCTCTCAACGGATAACAACTTCACTCTGACATAGATTAGTACCGCCTTCTCTTGGGAGGGTGGGGGGAAATTTTTATCTTCTATTCTGTTGCTCATAAACAGACCTGTAGCAGCGTTCAAGGAAAATAAGGAAATCCAACACTTATTTTTTAAGTTATTCTTTCAACCACTCACTAATTAGATACAAGAAATAAAAAAGCACGATTCACAGAAAGCAAAAACATTACACCGGTTCAAGCGCTTCCCAAATCTTATTACTTCCAGGTGCGAATACCGGGAGGCGAGCGGACAGATTGAATCCCACTTCCGCTCCTACTAACCCCCCTATAATTCTCTACAGAAGAGTCCAAGAGCTGCAGAGAAAATAACTGACCTTAAAGTGGAGAGAAGTTGGGGTAAGGCGAGGAATTGGGTTACCAGACCTTCAGTTAAAAAAAAAAAAAAACCTCTGGCTGTAGTTGCTAGAAATGTTATCACCGCATGTCAAGTCTGGCACTGACTGGGTAAAGCCCAACAGGCTTTCCCCAACTTCAAAACAATGGCCTTTAAAGCAAGGTAGGACTAGGAACACAACAGCGGCCAGATTCCTAGTTGTGGAAAGTTTAAACAAATTTCTTCCTCGGCGAATGGGGGAAGAGAGAGGAAGGAAAGTCTGGACTCGGCCGAAGGAGCGCGTGGGGTCCGCACAGTGCGCGGCCGCCGGCCCAACCCAGGGAGGTGCAGGGATTTGGGGCAGAAGCGATGGCATCCACTCCGGAGCCCTGGCCAGAGGACGTGTCCAGATCCGGGGGTTCGCGCAGCCAACGAGGTGGAACAAGGACGGCGAAGACGAGTGGGTCTGGTGCGAAGGGGCAGGGGTCCCAGACTCTGGGTGGAAGTTGGGGGCGGGATTGTGCCGGGAAGCCGGGAGGAAGCGGCGAGAGGCTCTACTTACCCGACTGTACCAGATGCTGAGGCGAGCTGGGGCCAGTACGGCGAAGAAAGTCCTCTGGGGGTCGGACTGAACGTGGAAAGGCGCCTCGGCCGGGCTCCCCAAAGGGCAGAGCAGCCTCTTGGGCCAGCCGCTCAGGAAATACATGGTCCGCGCGGAGCCTCAGACGCCGCGGCGCCAGGCGGCCCCCGGCCCCGTCCGTCACACTCAGCGGCCCAGGGTCGGACGCCCGTCTCCCACACCGCCACCGGCCGAGTCGGCGGCGGCGCCGGTGGCAGCTCCGGGCATCTGCCCTCTGGCCGGGCCGGGCCAGGCCGACACTACGCTAAGCGACGAAGGCAACCCAGGGCAGACGGGGCCCAGTGTGGGGGTAGGAGGGGGAGGGAGAGTCTGGATGGAGAGGGGGCGGGAGGAGCTGGAAGTCCCGCCCCGGCCCTGGTCCCGCCCCTTCCTCGGGCCGCACTGGCGTCACCACGCCGCGCCGCGTGTGTCTTGCCTGTGAGGGCTGCTGCGCGCGTGCGTACTGGAGATATCTTCGCTCCCCTCTGCTGTCTGAAACTCCGCCTTGGGCTTCAGCTCAACACGCATGCGCTTTGCCCTGCTCTGGCTCCTCTGCGCCTCCCAGTTGCTATGTAGGGTGTATAGTCAGGGCTGGCAGGCAGGACAAGTGCCTGGGACTCGGCGACAAGTGGGCCGAGCTGGCAAGACGCAGCTACTCGGCGACTACGATCTGGGACTGCCCCTTGCCTGGCCAAATTTAACTTTCTTTCCCTGATTGGTGAAGTCTCTGGTGGGAGTGGGTCCGGAGCTGCATCGCCTGGGTCGGGGGGCACGTGCAGGGGAGGGCGACTCACGTGACGTTTGCTGCTCCAGTTCCTGTCCTGGCTTGTGGGCCGCGGTCTCTGTGCAGGGTTGTGGGGTCCCTCATCCAGTGAACCCTTGTTGTATGCCAAGGTCTGCAATGAAAGCTGGTGGTGACGTTCCTGCCCTCATGGAGTTTACACCCTAGAGGGGGCCTTCATTTCAAATCATAAATAAACCACTTACCGTGAAAGTGCCTGAATCCTGTTTTCTGTCCTTCAGGAATTCTAAATGTAGTGTATATTTTTAAATTCGGTTTGCAATCTTGTGTCCATTTACCAGCCATAATGTTAGACAAGGCAAGGCTTTCTCTTTTGCACTCTCAGTAGAGTATGTGATTTAATATTGGAACTGGAACTGCCTTTAGCTATTCTGTAGTTCGATGTTTAATTTTTTGGACCCCAGGGATCACCTTAACAGTAAGAGTTCCTTTAAGCGTTGACCCTGGGATTACCTCTGAAAAGGAGGATGCAGGAGTGGCGAGGGAATGTGGAGTAGGGGAATGGGGTTCTGGATTAAAAGACTTTTTTTATCATTATTGGCGTCTTTGTACAGTCTGAATTTTTCCCTGTGTTTCAGTTAAAAGTTTGGTTTTTTTTAAGAGTCAGCCCAAGTGTTTTTTTTTTTAAGTTAACTCACATGAATAAATAAACAGCAAGAAAGGAAAAAAGTAACTTAATCCATATCAGATGTAGTATTTTAGCTGGTACTCATAGCAAAATATGTAACTTTCCATAATTTTCCTAAACATTCACTGCATTCCCCAGAAGGTGATCAAAGAATCCAGGATTCCTCAAAGCAAAGTTTAAACTGCCTCACCACTCACCAGCCTCTTGTGGCCAGACTGTGTCTCCTTCCTGGTGTTTTTTTCCTGACAAACAGCATAGCAGCCTGGAACATATTAAATAGTAAGGCTGGTAAACTGAAAATATTTGTCAAAGGAAGCTTTGGATGAAACCCTGATAAAACTAAACTGCACCATTAGACAAATAGAGAGGCCCAGAGCAGTTTCTTGACTTGCTAATATAAAATTGTAGAAAAATAACACAGTTGCATCATACAGTCATCTAACATTCTCAGATTCAGTTATGCATTTGGCAGAAAGAGAGAGGAAATTAAAGTTAAGTTAGAGGGCACCAATTCCACTTGAAAATTTCCTAAGGGTGTATTTCTCCCAGCTCTCCTTCAGAGGGTCTTTGTTCTCATGTGCCTCCTAAATGTTACCATTTAACTGCACTCACACACAGTTTAAGGAACTTGTAAGTACTTTTCATTGCACTCAGTTTTAACTTTACTTGCTGATTTATAATATAATTTCCCAAACACATTCCTTTGTAGCATTTAAGGATTGCAAAATATTTTCAATTGCATGACTTGATTTTGTTCCACAGCTAATCTTCAAGGTAGGTAATATTGGTGTGATGTTAATAGGACCATAGTGGTGGACATGCCTAAAGTCACCAGTTCTGAAAAGAACTGGTCTTCCTTCTACAGATCTAGTGATTCTAGATTGAACTGACCTGTGGTAGTTGCTCCAGACAGTGAAATCCTATAGCCCTTTCTCCCTGTCGGGGGAGAAGTGAAATATCTGACTCTCTCTACAACCCCCTTACTTAAGAGTCCCCCTCTCCATTGTGATAGAAACCCTATGAATGGGATTTTCCAACTTTCAGATATCTCAGTCTAGCATTAATCTGTAAAACACACTAGCAATTACTATGCTCTGGATGTACCTTCTCTTCCTTTCCGCACACCACTGTGACTTTCAAGTCAAACTTATTGAACTCTATTCTGAGCTAAGACTAAAGTGTTTCAGTTCAGTTCAGTTCAGTGGCCTCAGCCGTGTCCGACTCTTTGCAACCCCAGGAATTGCAGCACGCCAGGCCTCCCTGTCCATCACCAACGACAGGAGTTGACTCAAACTCACGTCCATCGAGTCGGTGATGCCATCCAGCCATCTCATCCTCTGTCGTCCCCTTCTCCTCCTGCCCCCAGTCCCTCCCAGCATCAGGGTCTTTTCCAATGAGTCAACTCTTCATATGAGGTGGCCAAAGTACTGGAGTTTCAGCTTCAGCATCAGTCCTTCCAATGAACACCCAGGACTGATCTCTGTTAGGATGGACTTGTTGGATCTCCTTGCAGTCCAAGGGACTCTCAAGTGTCTTCTCCAACACCACAGTTCAAAAGCATAAATTTTTCGGCACTCAGCTTTCTTCACAGTCCAACTCTCACATCAATACATGACCACTGGAAAAACCATAGCCTTGACCAGATGGACCTTTGTTGGCAAAGTAATGTCTCTGCTTTTTAATATGCTATCTAGGTTGGTCATAACTTTCCTTCCAAGGAGTAAGCGTCTTTTAATTTCATGGCTGGAGTTACCATCCACAGTGATTTTGGAGCCCCCCAAAATAAAGTCTGACATTGTTTCCACTGTCTCCCCATCTATTTCCCATGAGGTGATGGGACCAGATGCCATGATCTTAGTTTTCTGAATGTTCATTAAGCTTTAAGCCAACTTTTTCACTCTCCTCTTTCACTTTCATCAAGAGGCTTTTCAGTTCCTCTTCACTCTCTGCCATAAGGGTGGTGTCATCTGCATATCTGAGGTTATTGATATTTCTCCCAGCAATCTTGATTCCAGCTTGTGCTTCCTCCAGCCCAGTGTTTCTCATGATGTATTCTGCATATAAGTTAAATAAGCAGGGTGACAATATACAGCCTTGATGTACTCCTTTTCCTATTTGGAACCAGTCTGTTGTTCCATGTCCAGTTCTAACTGTTGCTTCCTGACCTGCATACAGGTTTCTCAAGAGGTAGTTCAGGTGGTGTGGTATGCCCATCTCTTTCAGAATTTTCCACAGTTTATTGTGATCCACACAGTCGAAGGCTTTGGTGTAGTCAAGAAAGCAGAAATAGATGTTTTTCTGGAACTCTCTTGCTTTTTCGATGATCCAGCAGATATTGGCAATTTGATCTCTGGTTCCTCTGCCTTTTCTAAAACCAGCTTGAACATCTGGAAGTTCTCGGTTCACATATTGCTGAAGCCTGGCTTGGAGAATTTTGAGCATTACTTTACTAGCATGTGAGATGAGTGCAATTGTGTGGTAGTCTGAGCATTCTTTGGGATTGCCTTTCTTAGGGATTGGGATGAAAACTGACCTTTTCCAGTCCTGTGGCCACTGCTGAGTTTTCCAAATTTGCTGGCATATTGAGTGCAGCACTTTCACAGCATAATCTTTCAGGATTTGAAATAGTTCAACTGGAATTCCATCACCTCCACAATTTTGTTCGTAGTGATGCTTTCTAAGGCCCACTTGACTTCACAATCCAGGATGTCTGGCTCTAAGACTGAAGTGTAAGGGAAATCTAATAGGTACAAGGTACAAGGTTTCATGTCTCAAACTAATGGACTCTTTTAATTACAAGCAATAGTGTTGGGACACAGGAACAGAGGTACATTTATACACTGTTGCTGGAAGAATAGTTGGTGCAGTTTTTCTAAAGAGTAGCTGGTGTGCTGTGTGCTTAGTCGCTCAGCTGTGTCCGGCTCTCTGTGACCCCATGAACTGTCGCCTGCCAGGCTCCTCTGTCCATTAAGATTCTCTAGGCAAGAACACTGGAGTGGGTTGTCATGCCTTTCTCCAGAGGATCTTCCCAAACCAGGGACAGAGCCCAGGGCTCCCACTTTGCAGGCAGATTCTTTACTGTCGGGGCCACCAGGGAAGCTCAGAGAATAGCTGGCATTACATTTTTAAAAAGAGAGAGAGAGAGCTTAAAGATACGCTTCCTTTGGAACCAACAATTTCTTTTCCTTTGGTGATTTTCTAAGAAATAAACACCAGTATGTACAGAGTTTAGCTTTAAGAATGTACCCCACAAAGGTGTAGCTAAGAGGAAATAACCTAAATGTCCTTCAAAAGACATTAGCTATAGTCCTTCCTTACAATGAAATGTTTTGCAAAAATAAAGTTATGATGGGGAAGAAAATTTAATCACATAGAAGTATATTCAGTATATATTATGAACTAATGAAAGCAGAAAAAAAGGCGGTATATAAAATATCCCATGTTCATGAAAAAAAAAAGTTTAAAAATGCCTAGGAGAAAATGGAAGAAAATCACTAAAATATTGGTGTTGACCCCTGATTATGGGAGCTTTTTTATGTTCTTTGGGAGGCTTTTTTTGTGTTTTCCAAACTTTCTATAAAGACAGTCTGTCTATTACATTTTACTTTTGTAATGAGAAAAAATTCCATAAGACAAAGTTAAGTTGCTAATGATTGA